CGCACAAGTGTTAGATCTGTACCGGGCGATGCTGAGAGAGAGCAAGCATTTCAGCGCCTACAATTACAGGTGACCCGGGGGGGAGGGGCCGGGAGGGGGGTGCCCAGGTCTGTCTCCAGAGGTGGCGGAACAGGCGCTCACAGCCTGGGTTAGTGACAGGCTCGGCTCCCCTGACGCGCGCACGTGCAACTGCCCACCCCCAGGTGTGACCCTCAGAGCCCGGGAGGGGAGGAGCCAAGGGCTTGCCCTTCAAGTTCTGGGACATCTTCTCTGAGGCCACTGACACTCGAGTTGGGGCTCTAGGACCCTGAGTCAGTGTCTTGTTTCTGCGGTACGAAACGATGGACTTGAAGCCGCAAGTGAGGAAAGTTAGGACAAGCAAGCATGTGCCTGCCGTACATGAAACTTGCCTTGAGAATACAAGTGGAAGCAGTCAGTCGGGACCACGTGGCCACAAAGCTGAAGGCTTGCTCTAGGCCCCCCTTTCATTTACACTGGAGTTTGGTTCAGGTACCAGATGCATTCTAATTAGAACAGCGTTTCTCAACCTATAGGTCCTGACCCCCTTTAGAATCAAATGACCTTTTCACAGGGGTCGCCCAAGACTATCAGAAAGCACAAATTAACATTATGATTCATAACAGTAACAAAATTACAGATATGAAGCAGCAGTGAAAATAATTTTATGGTTCCACAACATTAGGAACTGTATTAAAGGGTCACAGCATTAGGAAGGTTGAGAACCACTGAGTTAGAGGATAAAGGAGAGCGTACATATACAAGGAGTGTTGAAGGTAAAAGGAGTTGCTAGCCTTCAAAAACTGAAATGTTAGTTTATCCTGCCTCGCCAGACTCACATCTTCCCTCTAGGACCTATAACAGCAAGAGGACAAGAGCATTAGTTCTCCTAAGATGAAATTTAAAACTTGACTGTATTTTAAGTTATGCATAAACACACACAAACCATACATGTTGATGAGGTACCATGTGTGAACCTCATTCTCATGCAATAAAGCTCTTTCATATTTTTAAGCCAACCCATTTTTCCATACATGGCCCATTCCCCTACTTCTCTGAGTCCCTTAGGCTTGTTCTCCGCCTCAGATGCCCCACCTTCTTGGCTTCTGCTTCTTTGGTACTTCTGACCCACGGTTTCTGTAGAGCCCTCAGGTTTTCTGAGATGGGGTGTCTTGATGATTAATTACCTGAGCCCTCTGAGAATGAAGCATACTCCTGAGAACAAGAATCTGATGGAAGCAGCTCATTTTTCTTTAATGGGTTACTTATTTACAGTTATTTCCCAAGTGTCCTGATTATTTCACAAGCTATTCTTCACCTTATCATTTCAGACATTATTGACATTGTGCCCTTAGGTGACTGGCTAGGCTCTGGGCTGGGTGTCCTGATGTTAGCTAACTCCTGAAACAGACCTGGTTCTAGGGGCACCCTCCTCTAGGAATTAAGCTGCAAGGTGCTGTGCTGGGCAAGCCATGCACAACCTCAGTCTGTGGGCAGATGCACCAAACTTCTCCAGCAGTAATCCATATTTTAGAAACCTGAGAAAATATACTTGTCCTATCAACTTGAGGACAGCGTGGGTTGTACTAGTGAGTTTATAACCACTAAACACATGGTTAAATGAAGCATGATTTTATGTGATGACATTGCCTTTGGAGGATAAAGTATAAACACTAAACCTACAGATGGATTTCCCGTAAATACCTAGTGCTAAGTACTTACAATTAATGGAGCACAGGAAATATGTAAGTAAATACTTGAGTGTTCCCCACAGTCCAGAAGATAGAAACATGGATGGAATAAACAGAGACTAGGTCTCAGCAGAGGGTCACACTAGAGGGCACGTCTGGGAACAGACTGAAAACACACAGGGAGCAACCCTCCAAAACTGTGTAACCTTGGAGTTACTTGGTCTCTGACATTCAGTTTTCCTCAAAGCAAAACTTAAGTCGCTAGACTAGACAGCCTCTTAAGGGCCCTTTCATTTCTAAACTCCCATCTGGAAGTGACTTAGGATCCAATCAAAACTCGGAAGTTTTCCAAGTCCATAGGAGTAAACACAATAAACATTGGCTGTGCCTTACAACAGTTTAAAACTGAACTTCTGCATAAGCAACTATATGCCGATATGCACTCAGAGAGTAGTCTGTGACTCACACCTGATGTGTTTTCCACAGGAATCTCATGGTCACTTTTACCAATTATCATGTACCCAAAACCCGAGAACTCTGCCATCGGTACTATGTCCCACAGAAATAAGGCTTGCTTGATATAATGTATGTCTGCCTCAGGGCTGGAGAGATGGCTCAGTGGTTAAGAGCACTGGCTGCTCTTCCAGAGGACCCAGGTTCTATTCCCAGCACCCACTTGGAAGCTCACACCTGTCTGTAATCCAGTTCCAGGGGATCTGGTATCCTTACACCAATGCACATAAAATAAAGCTAAATAGAGTATTTTTTAAAAGGAATTCAGAAATAACCACTTCCCTCCTCTCTCAACCCAGCACTGTTTGTCATGGCTATCACTGAGAGTATCCATTGATCACATCTGTGTGGCACCATTTTCTATTATTTATGTTTCTTAGCACATTTATTTCTGATAACCTCATGAGGTACTATTTTTATGAACTAGCCAAAACCCAAGCACCAGAGTTGCTAACCTATCCAAAGTCACTAAGCTAATGCTAGATGACCAATCCAGTGTGGAGCCAGCACAGGGGGGACAGAACTGTAATCCTGACACTGGGGAAGTAGGAAGATGAGTTCTAGGCCAGTATGATCTATACAACAAGCTCAAGGACATTGTGGGTTACATGATTGTCTGTCTCAAAAACAAAATGGAAAAAAAATTAATGAAAAATTTTTAAACAATCTGGAAGTTTTGGTGCCTAAAGTAATCACAGTACTGAAATATTCTGTAAGAACTGTACTTACATGACCTACCTACCTGTCCAGGTTTTATCCCAGTACCAACAAGCCTCACTCACATACCCTCTGTTCTTTGTTGTTTCTGCTCTCTCTCTCTCTCTCTCTCTCTCTCTCTCTCTCTCTCCCTTCTCCTCCCCTTCACTCCCCTCCCCTCCCTCTTCCCATATGGCCAGAGTGAACTGGAATGAGCCTGTCTGGAATCGTACCAATACCAATCAAAGCCTTTCTCTTGCTAAAACAAGGCGGAGGCAGTGGGTAAAGAACTGGGAAAGCAAGAGGCTCTGAGTTTAGATCCTATACACCTGGGGAAAAGTGAGCTGTAGTAGCATGCATCTGTAATCCAAGCACTGGTGAGGTGGACATAGGAGGGCCCCTAGAGTGCACGGGCTAGCCAGTCTAGCTGGTTGGTAAGCTCCAGGTTCAGTGAGAAATGCTGTTTCAAAAACTGAAGAAAACAACTAAAGGAAACCACCTATACAAATGCACAAAATGAGAAAAAAAGGGTGAAAAAGAAGGCATTGATGCCAAATATTCTTCCTCCTTAGAACAAGCTGAGAAATTCCTAATATTTCTTAAACTCCTCTCTGTGTGTGTGTGTGTGTGTGTGTGTGTATGTATGTATGTATTTGTGTGTAACTGCACAGGGCCTGGGAGTAGATAGGATGGTCCTGCCATTAAAAGATTATGGTGTGGTTGTACATAAGGACTACTTCAGAAACTAGTAGAACAGGAAATGTGCCTGAGTGATGACCTGCAGCATGTAATGGTTTCCAGGAGACACTTTCTATTGATAATTTAGCTGCCACTTGTTACACTACTGTAAAAATAGAATTCCATACCATTGTGGTGCTCATTTCAACCCTTAGGGCATAACTCAGCTCCAATTTTATCTTAATTCTGTGTATCATTTCTTCCTTAGACACTGATGGACACAGCAGTGCCCTTCATTTCTATAAAATTATCTCAGCCCTCCAAGGGTAACCTTGGTTCTATTGTCAAACCACAGACTCCTGCTACACAGCAGTTGCTGATAGGGAAACCTCCATCCCTATGGTCTTTTTCACCTTTTCCCCCTTGACTGAAGTAGAGCTCCCCAAAGCCCACCCTAATGTCATCAGGGTAGTGAGTATGGTGGTGTTCATTATGTGTTCTTTCTGCTGTTTCCTTCCTTTTCTGGGTGCTAAGGACTTAGGCCCCCACATATGACAAGCTCATACTCTGCCCAGGGTTACAGTCCTTACCCCTGGTATGTTCTTAAGATTGCTAGGTTGTTTTCTTTTTCCCTTCACTTTAAAAAGGGAAATCCCTTTTCCCTCACTTTAAGTCTTGTAATAATGTTTTTAAGACATATGTAAAGCATGACTTACTGGAGAAGACATAAGATTCTCTTTTAAGCAGCCAATTAAAAATTTTACTGTGAGCCGGGCGTTGGTGGCTCACGCCTTTAATCCCAGCACTCGGGAGGCAGAGGCAGGTAGATCTCTGTGAGTTTGAGGCCAGCCTGGTCTCCAGAGTGAGTGCCAGGATAGGCTCCAAAGCTACACAGAGAAACCCTGTCTCGAAAAACAAACAAAAAAAAAATTTACTGTGAAATGCTGAACAAATCATCTTTCTTGGTGAAAACTATCTTTTGCAAGATAGTTTTAAAAACAAAAGCATCGTTTTTAAAAGAAAATCATTGCTTTATTAATTTTCTAAGTTCCTTGCAAAATATGCTTTAATATTCTGAGTTCATGCAATTGAGCTCATGTATACATAGCCTGTGGCTCTTTGTTAGGAAGAATTCTTGTGCTGACGCTTTCTGTGGTACCCCACAGACAACTGGAGGCAATTCATATGTGTTTAAAAATGATTGCTTAAATTTATGAAATATTAATTATTAAAATGTGGCTGGGGTTTCCAAAACCAGTGTTATTTTTTCTCCTACAGTTGTTAAGTTTTGCCATATTGGTTAATGATTTTGAAAACTTAGTTAAGATTTTATAGTTATGTTGGAGTACTTTGAGAAGATCACATCCATCAGCTAAATTTGGGGAGACAAAATGCATTCATTTTTCCTCTAGACTAGATGATAGCAGGGAGTAATTTGAAAGGATTAGATTTAGAGTTGGAGATGTAGCTCAG